TGTTATTTCTCTCACTGTGTGTCTGCACATTATACATTTTAAGCCATCAGCTGTTGGAACAAAGTGAAAGTGCTGCTCTAACCTTCTGTTTGCAGCAAGCAGCCAATCAGAAAGCAAAAGTCCAAGAATGAAAGTACAGGGCTGGAAATGGGAAGAACATCGAATTCAAAGTCTCGCTCTTCCTCTCACAGTTGTTTTTATCACCACCAGGCTGAACCACAAGCGTGTGCTCACTGACACGAGCATTCCTGCAGATTTACACGCACTTTGCAAAACATATGCTCGCTTTTGCCCGTCATAAATGATTTAATGAAGGGTCCCACCTCTGAAGCAATTAGGCTGTAATCCATTCATCAGCATGGCTGGTTGCCTTAGTTAATTGGATGGAGCCACATACGACGTAGAACCCCACCCCCAGTGCTGCTCCTCCATGGACATCACATCTGATGGATTTGGCCGTTGGTGCGATCAATCTTTGATAACACACATGAATCCATATAACATCATTTCTAACATCTGCATCTACATTGTATCTGTTTTAATAGAGTTCAGTTTCATCAGGCTTGTTTCAGAATTGAGCTCGAAGGCTTTGCACACACTGGGTCTCCATCTGTCATCCTGTACAGGAAGCAGTTTTCTGTTCGCTGAACGCATTCAGTTCTTTGACGGAGTAGCGATGAAGACACCAGCTCACTGTTTCCTTTCTCCGCAGGAGGCGATCTGTCCCGACGCTGAGCGAGTCTGTCAGACGCGTCTGCGAATGCACTGCAGAGAGAACAGCGTGAAGTCCGAAGCACGAAGGAGCACCTCGCTAAAAGCCAGCTGGGTGATAGATGGAGGATTTTGGGTGGACGGATGGACGAGTGGAAAAAGTCCCTGCTGATAAACACAGTGCTCTGTAGTGCTCAGTCATCAAATGACTGAATCTTACTGCTGATCGTATATTTCTTACATATTCTGCAGCCTGTACATTCTACTGTGTATTTATAGATTAAAGATCCTATGATACAAGTTCTACTGCATTAAAATGTGTATGTTTGTGTATGTATACGTAGCAGCTGACTGAACTTAACAGCTACTAGTCTGGGTTATATTTCCATGTTTACAGCGCAGTGCTGACGGGCTGCTCAATAAATGGACAGCACGGTCACCTGTCTGTCTCTGAGGAATCCTTTACAGCAGCACATACTGCGTTGCTTTGTGGGACGTGGAAAGCACCACATTAATAAAAGTGCCATTAAAAGTTTATAAGATAAAAGATTATAAGATTGATTTATGATCAGTTTCAGGGCTGAGATCACTGACAGATGTTCTTCATACATTCAAATTATACTTAATGTGCTTTTTAATAATAATAATAACAACAATAATAATAACAACAACAATAATAACAACAATAATAATAACAACAACAACAATAATAACAACAGCAACAACAATAATAATAATAACAATAATAACAATAACAACAACAACAATAATAATAACAACAATAATAATAATAATAATAACAATAACAACAATAATAACAATAATAACAATAATAATAATAATAACAATAATAATAATAATAATAATAACAATAATAACAACAACAATAATAATAATAACAATAATAACAATAATGATAACAACAACAATAATAATAACAATAATAATAACAACAATAATAATAATAATAATAATAACAATAATAATAATAATAATAATAACAATAATAACAATAATGATAACAACAACAATAATAACAATAATAATAATAATAATAACAATAATAACAATAATAATAATAATAATAATGACAATAATAATAATAATAATAATAATAATAATAACAATAATAACAATAATGATAACAACAACAACAATAATAACAATAATAATAATAATAATAATAATAATAATAATAATAATAATAACAGTTTAATACACTGAGAGTAATCACAATATTCTAATCCAGAGAATTAAGCAGCTTTACTTTCACACTTCAGTAAACTTAACATCTAAAGGATGTCAGTACAGA